GGTGCTAGAGACCCAGCCCAGGGCCTTCTTTTCGCCAGACACTCTGGGCCCAGGGCCTTCCTTCCGCCAGACATGCTGGGCTACAGCACTCCAGCCTCTGGAGAGCTGCAGGGAAAAGGAAGCTATGTGTGTTACTTCTCCCTGTTGCTGAGGCACTTAGCTTGAAGCAAACCTCCCTAGTAGTTTGGCTAATAGGATGTGGGTGCAACTGATGTAAGCGATTTTCATGTCTGGTCTGTAAAAGCTCCACGGGCAATCTTCCAGCCTCATTTTCACTACAGCCTAGGAGACTTCATAATCCAGGATGTCAGAGATTCACCTGAAGACGATCTGGTACCACAGTGAGAATTAATTTTGTTCATTTGTTTGTTTTCAAGACAGGATTTTTTTGTGTAGCCCTGCCTGTCCTGGAACTGGCTCTGTAGACCAGACTGGCCCCAAACTCACAGAGATCTGCCTGCCTCTGCCTCCTGAGTGCTGGGACTAAAGGTGTGCACCACTGATACCCAGCTGAGAATTAAATTTTTGCAGCACCAACTCAGTGAAATTTTGGGGGCTTGTCAATTGTAGCAGATTGTGTTTACCATAACGAATACACAGTTCACAGTAGCAACAGAAGCAGATAAGACCAGTTGTCTATGGGAAAATCTGGATGTTTGTAGAACAATTTTGGGACAGTAAACATCCACAAAGAAAATGTTAGTGTTACATCTTTCTGTAATACAAACAACAGCAACAACAAATATGTATATATGCATATTTTTCATCTGTTGCATATTGATAGGGACATATTTGAAGAAATGTGCTGTTAGTTTTCCAATATGTGAACATCATAGACTATATAAAAACTAATATGGCTATAAAGTCTCTAGGCAATAGAATTTTTGCGATATTTATTTATTTTTATGAGTTTGACAATTTGCCTTCATGTTTGTCTGTGCACTATATGCGTACAGTGTTCTTGGAGGCCAGAAGAGAGCATTGCGTCCCTTGGAACTGGAGTTACACATTGTTGTGTTGCCACATGGGTGCTGGGAACCAAACAGAGGTCCTCTACAAGAACAGCCATTACTGCACACGGAGTCATCTCTCCAGTCCCTAGATGATCAAATCAGTGGTGGCACACGCCTTTAATCCCAGCACTCAGGAGGCAGAGGCAGGCGGATCTCTGTGAGTTTGAGGCCAGCCTGGTCTACAAGAGTTAGTTCCAGGACAGGCCCTAAAGTTACAGAGAAACCCTGTCTCAAAAACAATAGCAATAACAAAAAAAATCTTATGAAACAACTGTTGTACACATGATCTTTGAGCATTGCTTTATTTGTGTTCAGATATAGCCAACTCAAGATAGAGAACGTTTGTAGCAGCCAGGGAGAATCCATTCATATCTTTTCAATCAGCACCCACCTCCTTCCAGACAACCACTCTTCTGAGTTATAGTATGGTCAATTAATTCTGTATATTTTTAACATTTATGATGAATTTAGGTAATATTTACTCTTTTGGGGTCTCTTTCACACCACAGTGTGCAAAACGATGTTAGTACAATATTGTTGTAATCTGTTGTATGATGCTCCAGTGTCTGAACTTATCAGTTAATGACTCATTGTCCACTCAGTAGACTTCTAGGCCATTCACGATTCGCGGCTGTTATAAGAAAAGCTGAAGAATAAGGCTATGAAAATGTGTGTATTTGTCGTTGTTGTTTTGTTTTGTGGTCAAGCTTTGTTAAGGAGATTCTTTCCTGGTTCATTTTTTTCCAGGCTGTTCTGGCACGCTTCTAATGGCATCAGGATCTACTGGATCAGGGACAACAGTGTGCACACTGGGTAGTATTTTCCACATCCTGTGCCCAGCTCAGGATTATTGCCCCTGCTCTGAAGGACACCAGTTCTGGCCGCTGTGCCACAGTGTTCTATTTCAGATTTTCTCTAAGCAAGGCACTTGGCGAGAATAGCCAGCTGTGCTTTGCCCTGTCTGATCATCTTCAGAGTCAGCTTGGCCTTCAGTGCACACTGTCTGCTTTTCATAAAAAGTTGCCGCTATAGTTGATCGATGCCAAAGACTTTTTTTTATCACCTTCGTGGCCATCATTTTTCTGCTTAAGTGCAAGATGACTCCCAACTGAGGGCAACGACCAGCATGGCCTGAGAGTGAGAAAGCCTGCATACATCTTTTGTAGCTATATGCCCTCAGTTTTTGAAGCTGCCTAGCTATTGGTAGAAATCCTAAGCACAGGATAGGCATATGTTTAGCATCTTGCTGGCTTTCTCCTTGAAATCTGAGATTTTTTTTTCTAATTCTGTGAAGATCACTGGAATTTTACAAGTGTTTGGAATCTTGTCACAATTTTAATTCTATCAACCATGTTCATGAATGACCCACTCATGAGTCATTCTAATGTCTTCTTTTTTTTTCTTTTTCTTTCTTTTTTTTTTTTATTTTGTTTTATTTTGTTTCGTTTTGTTTTTCAAGACAGGGTTTCTCTAGCTTTGGAGCCTGTCCTGGAACTAGCTCTTGTAGACCAGGCTGGCCTCAAACTCACAGAGATCCACCTGCCTCTGCCTCTGCCTCCCAAGTGCTGGGATTAAAGGTATGTGCCACCACCACCACCCAGCTCCTTCTTCACATTTTGTTAGAGACGGGTACTTGTGTAATCATGGCTAGCCTTTTGATCACTCCCTATATAGCCGAGGATGACCTGGGCTTCTTAATCCAGCCTCAGCCCAGTCATGTGTTGGAACTGTAACTGCGTGCTACCATGCCCAGGTCTACAAAGTCCCAGCAGACTGTCATGACTACACAGAGAAGACTTCAGAGTTCTGCAAGAAGTAGTCTTCCTTCTATTCCTTGGAAATAGTTTTTCACTTGACATTCTAACTTAGGGGTTTACAGTATAGCTCAGAGGCAGAGAGCTTGTTCAATATATACAAGGCCATGGTCATCCAAGTCCCAGCACCTAAATATATTGAGATCATAAGGAAAGACCTTTATACCCAAAGTTTTTTTGTTTGTTTGTTTGTTTGTTTGTTTGTTTTTCTTACTGGGATTCCTTAAACTGTGAATGACTGGCCTGTGGCTCAGTGGGTAAAAGAGATCGCCATGCAGGCTTGATGACCTGGATTCAGTTTGCAGAACCCACAGCAGAAGGAAAGGGCTGACACCCAAGGCTGTTCTCTGAACCCCAAATGCAAACACATCATACGTATACAATAATAAATCATTTTTTTAAATCTATCAAGACAATCAGAAGGAAGACAAGTTTGAGACATGATCACAGCCAAGATGAACCTAAAAACACATCACAACTGAATAATGTTTCTGTGCTGGCTAGTTTTATGCCAGCTTGGCACAAGCTACAGTTATCGAAGAGGAGAAAACCCCAGCTGAGAAGATGCATTTATAACACTGGGCTGTAGGCAACCCTGTAAGGCATTTTCTTAATTAGTGACATCATTGTAGGTGGTGTCATCCCTTTGCTGGTGGTGCTGGGTTCTATAAGAAAGCAGACTGAGCAAGCCAGGCAGAGTAAGTCAGTAAGCAGCACCCCTCCTAGCCTCTGCATCAACTTCTGCCTCCAGGTTCCTGCCCTGAGTTCCTGTCCTTAACTCCTTTAATGATAAACGGTGCTGTTTAAGAGTAAGTGAAAACAACCCTTTCCTCTCTGAGTGTTTTGGTTGTGGTGTTCCGTCACAGCAATAATAATCCTAACTAAGTGTCTTTAATGGGACTTTGGATTTTCAGTCAAATAATTTTTTTGAATAAATTCTTTCCTTTTTTCTTTTTAGATATATGTTTATGAGGGATGAGTGCTAAATTACAGGCCTATCTCTCCCCACATCATCATCATCATCATTATTTGTTTTTTTCAAGACAGGGTTTCTCTGTGTAGCTTTAGAGCCTGTCTTGGAACTTGCTCTGTAGACCAGGCTGGTCTCGAACTCACAGTGATTCGCCTGCCTCTACCTTCTGAGTGCTGAGATTAAAGGCGTGCACCACTTCCTGGCTTCCACCACATTTTTCTGACAGGCTTTCTCACTGAACTTGGAGCTCACTGATTGGGCAGACTGGCTAGCCAGGGACCTACAGGGATCATACCAGTGCTGAAAATACAGATGTGCACTGGCCAGCTTCTCATGGGGTGCTGGGGACCAAATTCAGGTCCTCATGTTCGTGTGACAAGCATTTTACTGTCTAAGGCATCTCCCGAATCCTCTGAACAAGCTCATGTTTCCAGGGCATCCCCAGTTCAGCTCCACTGGAGTACTGGAGTGCACAGCCTGTCAGGAGGCCAGGCCCAGGAGGAGCCCAGTGCCCAGGAAGAGACTGGTGCCTGGGAGGAGCCTGCTGCCCAGGAGCCACTTAGGTTCTCTGGTTCCCCCTGCCAACTTTCTGTTTAATGGAAGCATACATCACTCACTTTAAAGTCTTTTCTCCCCAACATAAATATTTAATGCTATACTTTTCTCTGAGAACACTGCTTTAATGGCATTCCACACATTTTAGTAGTTGTGCTTTTACCTTAACTCAGTTAAAAATATTTTTTCTGGTCTTTCTTGACCCAGCTATTTAAAAGTGTTGTTTTATTAGCTTCCATTATTTGTAGGGGAGTTTTAAAATACTTTTTCTGTTATCTAATTTAATCCTTTTTTGCATGAATTCATTCATTCTAGATTTATAAGCATTTGCTTTATGTGTCAGTGTATAATATAATTTAGTAAATGTATAGTGTTGTCTTGATGAGAATGTGTTGTAAGTCAGGTTGATTGATATTCTCGGCTTTTCCTGATTTTGTTTGTTTGTTGTTGTGGTTTCCCAAGACAGGATTTCTCTCTGTAGCCCTGCCTATCCAGAAACTCAGTTTGTAGATCAGGTTGGCCTGGAACTCACAGAGATCTGCACGCCTCCTGCCTCCTGCCGCCCCCCCCCAATCCCCGCAAGTGCTGAGAATAAAGGTGTGCACAATCACTACCTGGCCTGGCCTGTGTTTCTGCTTTTTGTTTTTAACTATAGAATGCTTCATGAATTTTTGTGTCATCCTTGCACAGGGGCCATCTAATCTTCTCTGTATTGTCCCAATTTTAATATATGTGCTGTCAAAGCGAGCACAACTTTATGTTAAAAAATTATTCTGTCAATTATCAATAGCAGAGCTAAAATCACTAAGTCTTTGTATATTTCTCATTTAAATTTTGTTGTTTTGCTGGTTGTGGGAGCACATTCCTTTAATCTCAGCATTTGGGAGGCAGAAGCAGCAGATGTTTGAGTTGAAGGCCAGCTTGGTCTATATAGAGAGTTTCAGGTCAGCCAGTGATCCTGGGTAAGCTCTTGCCTAAAGTAATGACAACAGCAATAATAAAGCCTAAAGAAACGGTTCAACAGTTAAGAGCACTGGCTACTCTGGCAGTGGTGCTGGGAATGTTTCTTAGCACCCACGTGGTAGCTCACAGCCATCTGTCATTCTCACTCCAGGGGATCTAAAACCCTCTTTTGATCTCTGTGGGCACCAGATACAGACATGGTGCACAGACACAAATGCAGGCAAATAATCACACACATAAAAATAAATAAATACATCTAAAAACTAAGGCATAAGCTGAAACTTTGGACTGAAGAATGGAGTGACACATAGATATAAATCTGATTGGTATGCCTCTTTGGGCTTGGAGCTCCCATGAAATAACAGGGTGGAGATATAGACTAGGCAGTTGAACAGATACATCTGGTGTTCAAAGAAAGATGAGGACAAAGATATAAAACTGAGATATCAGCACACGTGTGAAGTTGCACACATAATTCCTTAGGAAAAGACGGTACAGGCAGAACATCTGGGCGAGATAATTGGCACTTGCCATCCCACTGCAGATAACTAAAGAGATTTAGAAATCAAGAAACTTCTTGTAATTTTGTAGGAATTAGAAGCAAGACTTAAGCTAGAACTGGGGCCCAGAGTGAGCCATTTATAAGTAGGTTTTTCCTGTGTTTTATGCAGACCCTGTAGAGATAAATGAGTCACTAAACTGCTTATAGAAGGCTTCCTAGGCTGCAGGAATGAAGGCTAGATTACGAGTGGCCCTCCGAGGATAGCGATCCACACCAGGTATTGCAGAATACATGGAGAACTGTTTTTAAAAACCAACAACAATAAAAACAGTAACAAATATTGGTGTGGAAGATACTGTAGCACTCTTACTATTGTTTGTTGGGAATGTAAAATTGTTTCGCTGTGGTAAAGCACAGTTTGACACTCCCTCCCAAAGCTAATCACAGTGTGAGCACTTGGCCCGGCACATCCCTTCTAGGTATGCACCTAAAGGATCAAGAGCAAGGATTCAAACAGACACCTGTACATAAATGCTCACAGCATCATTATTCGAAGTAAACAAAAGGTCTCTCAGCAGGTAATTGAGTAAGTTATTTTAAAATTTTGAACTCTTTTGTAGTTCTGGGAATTTAAGTATTTTTCTCATAATTTCTTCCCCTTTCTTTCTTTAAGAAATCCCTAATAGATATTTCACCTCGAGGCTGCACCCTTACCTTTTCTTTCATGTTGATTTTCTTTTCTTTTTCTTAACATTTTGAAACAGTTTCTTGTTGTTTTGTTTGTGTTGTTTTTGGTTTTTCAAGATAGGGTTTCTCTGTAGCTTTGGCGACTGTTCTGGAACTAGCTCTTGTAGACCAGGCTGGCCTTGAACTCACAGAGATCTTCCTGTCTCTGTCTCTGCCTCCCCAGTGCAGGGATTAAAGGCATGTGCCACCACTGCCCAGCGAGTTTCTTGTTTTTAATCTAAATTTTATCTCTGAAATTATAATTTCAATTCCTAAACATCCTACCTTAATCCTTGATTTCTTCATAATCTTTTTATTTTTTTATTTATTTTTGGTTTTTCGAGACAGGGTTTCTCTGTAGCTTCGGAGCCTGTCCTGGAACTCACTCTGTCACCCAGGCTGGCCTCGAACTCACAGAGCTCCGCCTGCCTCTGCCACCCGAGAGCTGGGATTAAATGCGTATGCCACCACTACGTGGCACTCTTTGTGACCTTTAGTCCCTCTTGTAAGACTGCGGTGTAAACCAAGAATGACTCAGTTGCTAAGAGCCCTGGCTGCTCTTCTAGAGGACCCAGGTTCAATTCCTAACACTGACATGGAGGCTCACATGTCACTCCAGTGCCAGAGGATCCAATGCCCCTCTCTGGCCTCTGTGGACACTTCACGCATGTGATGCACAGACATAGATGCAGACAAAATACTAATACACATAATTTTTTAAAAGCTTCAAACAATTTTAAAGACTGCTGCATGTCTGAGTATATTAGAGAATTTAAAATATTTTCCTTCTATTCATCGACTTACCTTCACCCATTCAAAAACACATACCTATGTCTCTTTCGTGTTACAAGCTTCTCAAAAAACTGGCATTTCTTAGCTGTCAATAAATATTTACAAATGTTGTAGCTGAAAAACCAAGCCTGAAGTCTGCACAAACGGAGGCCACCTACTGCTAGGCAGGTGTGGGCAGGTGGGGCCCCTGCGCATTAGAATGTGAAGTATTTGTCACAGCTTGTCACACCAGCTGCTCTGGTTCTCCACAACTAGTTTAATCGGTTTCTCTGCTCAACTCCCTGCCCCTGTTGTTAGCCAGTATTCAAAGGCCCAGGCACTATATTCTTTCCGTGTGGTGAAGAGACACGTGGAGAGGTCTGTCCCTGCCGCAGAGAGACTTCCAACCGCCCCCTTCCACTATTTTGCATATTGGTGTGAGTCCCTATCCTCCCCGATCTAGCCAGGCGGTTACCAGGCCTCTCTGGCAGGAATCTGCTGCCGCGTTTCCCACCGCATTGCAGTTTGCATGTCTTGTACCTCTTCTCTGAGTTCTCTTCCAGACATTCAACAGAGGAACTGGCTTACTGATGACCTGAGCCCATTTCCTTGTGTTAGGTTGGTACCTTTTTAATTCCCTCGTCAGGGTCACACTGGGGATGATAAACACCTGGGGACAGTCGTCTGCCTTTGACCGAAGGGAAAGATTAAGTTAAATCAAAGAATATTTGCTGTATGAAGATCCTTTTAGATGTACATTGTTTTAAATGTTCACAGGGGAAGCCGTATCGTGCACATGGAGAAAGTCTCTTGCCTTCCACCATGTGGGCCTTGAGGTCATCAGTTTTGGTGCTGAACACCTTTACCTGCGGAGTCATCTCACAGGCCCCTAGATGTATATTTTTTGAGAAAATAAACACCTCGCATTCTTCAAAAGGAACTGGCTGTTGAGACCACTCGGTAGCTTTGCTTCAGTAGGTGGCACCATTTCCCAGCTCAGCACTCCCGCATGGGAGACTGAGCTCTGCTAACCTTGTACTATTGAAATGAGTAGGTTTCGGTGTTTGCCATGATCAACATAAACACTAATCTCAAATCAGTTGAAATCTCCAAACCGGTTCAAGTTTCTGAAACATTAGCATAATGGTGACTTCTGCTGTGTAGGCCGGCCGGTCACTGAGAGAACACTTCCCAAGCCTGCATTAAGATCCTGGGGCTCCTGTGTTGGATCCCCAGCACCTCAAAACACATTACCAGCCACACTCAGTACTAGAGGCATTCAGATTCAAGCTGTTAAGTAGTTCTTAAATCTCTATTGAGGGGACTTGGGGAGAAGACTCTATGGTTAAGAGTGTGGACTAGTCTTGCAGAGAATCTGAATTCACTTTCCAGCACTCATGTGGGGTGGTTTCTAACAACCTGTTACTCCAGCTCCAGGGGCATCTGATGCCTCTGGCCTCATGAACACTGCACACACAATTTTTTTTTTAAATCCCCGTTTAGTAATTGTACATGGACAATTATCATTCACTATTATTTCTCTTTAATTCTATTGCCCCAAGTCAGTCAAGATGTTCTTTACATAATTAAATCAATTCTAAGGCAATAACTTTTAATGTTTTTAGAATATTTTGCCTGGCCTATAATTAATAATAAGAAAATGCATATGGGCATCTTTACTTCCTATTTTGAATTTAAAAAATTAACCAGTATGTAGATCACATGTGAAATTATAATCTTCACAGGGTTCATATAAACCTGACTAGTAAACACGAAATGTTAGAACTCTGAGGGCTTATGCCATGTATGAAGCCTTATTTTTCAATAATCAGAGCCTTACTTTCTTCTAGTGAGTAGAGGTGAAGACTTCAGAAATTGTGTGTTTCAAAACCAGCATTGCAGAGCAAGGAAAAGCACATAAAGCAATCTAATGTCAAAGCTCAGAGCGAAGCCTGTGTTGTTTTTCACTGACTTTAGGAAAAGCCACAGTGTCTAACAGACTAAGCCACCTCTGAGAAAGGTTTTCAGTCACCTGAGACTCTTCAGTCATGATTCTGGGCATTTGTCACCAATCATGGGGGCTCTGGTATTCTTTTTCGTCTTTTGACAACTTTGCTTAAAAACACTTTCCTGGAACCAGCTTTCCTTATCTGTGCAGAGAACTCAGCTTAATAACCACAAATGTCTGGGGATGCGCGAACTTTCAAATGCTTGTCTTCAGAGTTCCAGGCAGGTTTTTTTGTCTGAGGGATGGATAGAATGAGTGGGGAAGACAGGGCCTCACTGTGCAGTCCAGGCTGTCCTTGATCAGGTTGGGATCTTCTTGCCCCTGTCTCTTGACTACTGGGGTCACAAGTGTGTGCCACCACGTGCAACTAAAATGCCAGGTATTCTGTATCATTTCATTAGACCATCATTTGTGATGTTAGTTTTTCCCATGCCAAGCCACAAAGTATTAGTTACTAATGAGTCTTAATAGCTTGAAGGCCATATTTAATGAAATTAGAGAAACCCAAAATATAGAAAATATTCTTAAAAATTCTATTTTGACCCATATTGGTGGTGCATGCCTTTAGCCCCAGTACTTGGGAAGAAGAGATAGGTGAATCTCTGAGTTTGATGCCAGCCTGGTATACAAAGTGAGTTCCACCATAGCCTGAGCTAACAGAGAGACCCTGTCTCAAAAATCGAAACAAAACTTCTATGTTTAGGTTATCATTATATCAAACAGCTTCTTAATACAATTTACTAGAAGAAAATGAAAGCTGTGTCTGTTGACTACCTTTGTC